CAGTATAATGACTTAGAATCACTGATAAATCTTGTTTATAAGTTCATAATAACGATAATGAACTTAAACATAATTTATACTTAAAGTAGGGTAAGCATAACTCACTTACAATGGTGTTTAGCGAAGAACCGGGCTCTGTGCGGGCAGAACTTCTGAGCCGAAAGCTCTTCTTCTCGGGGCCTTCTGGTGCTCAGGGACTCGCTACTAACTCCTAAGAAAGGCTAGAGAAAATCCTTGAGGCTTTGGGGGTATTTGGGAGAGAAGTTGAGAAAAGGTGTGAAGAAAAATGAGGGAAAACGTTTCTATTTATAGGCTGTCAGCGCCGAGTACGCTGAGCGTACTCAAGAATTACGCTGAGCGTAATGGATTTTTAAGGGTTACACTAAGCGTTCTCAAAATTATGCTGGGCGTAATGTGCCACGTTTCGCGATCTCATGCAAAGCCGTGGGGAAGAAGGTGCGGCTCAGATTGCGCCACGTGTCACTTGCTGGTTACTCTAAAAACTAATTATCTTCTAAAATTCTTAACTTTTGCATACAAGCTCTGTTTTTGACGTTCTTTATATCCACGCGTAGGTGGGATCGTACTCTACAAATTTCGTTGAGATCCTGGTGGCTAATTTTGACTTTATTTTTAAATTTATATTTTTAACAGGCCGAGACAGGAAAAAAGTCCGTTAAAAATTCATAACTTCTTCATCTGACGTCCGTTTTCATCTGTCTTTTTACCATTGAGCTACTATTAATGAGACCTTCGATTCTCGTTTAGGTTATGTCGGCTAAAAATCGGTCAATCTAATATTCGAATTCCGGGCTGTATACTGCTATGCGAAATCTAGAAAAATCATAACTTCCTCATACGAAGTCAGATTTTGATGTTCTTTTTATGCACGCCCTCGGTTTAACATATACTACAGCTTTCATTTAGATATATAAGGCTAAAAAGTAGTTTATCAAAAATTCACTTTTTACGATTCCCGGTGTCGCGCTGGTTTTGCCGTAAAACATCGACAGGTCGTAACTTCTTCGTTATAACTCGGATTTCGGCCTTCTTTATATGTACGGAACCTTTGTGACATAAACTATAACTTGGTTAAGATTATTTATTCTAAATAATCTTATATCAAAAAGTCATTTTGACGCTCATTGTTTATAAATTGACTAGCCCGAATCTGCGGACGTTACAATTATCTCCCCTTTAGGATGATTACGTCCCAAAATCATCAAAAAAAATAGGGCTTTTATAATGAATCCATACGTTATCTCTTCATCCTAGGTAATAATCGTAACATCTATGTTCCTTCGAATGAATATCTATCTCTTGGACTTCTTATTATATACGGTGCTCGGTCTTGCACCCGCTCTCTATCTCATGTTGGACTTTCAGTCGTGACCTTTAAGTCATAATCTCGATCCTTATTGGAGACTCCTTCTTCTTCTTAACAAACTTAAGATAAGTTCTTTCCTTCGATTACCATAATAGACCGATGGGTTATGGTCTCTCATCGTATGATGCAAAGCTTAGACTTATGTCTTTTAGAGTCAAATTCCAGACTTGAAGACAACTTCCTTCATGCTCTAATGTGATATAATCACATTCTAATATGTAGCACTTCTAGCTACAAGCTCTTACAACGATCGTGATACTTCTATTGATTGTTTCGATTACTTTCACTTCAACTGTCTGGCTTAAGTCAGGTGCTACATCGAACTTGGTTCTCTGAACCAGGTAACATACTTATCTTAGTCAGACTCAATTTCACAAGACCACTAGGGTCGGAATAACAATCATCTTCTTAGATGATTGTTTTGGGAATACATGACTTGTGATTTTATTATGATGTTGATGAATTATGGTTTTCTTAAATGATTTTAAAACGAAATTTTTGTACCGTATTTTTGGGATGTTTCATTTTTCAATAAAAATAGCTTTCTAAAAATAAAAAAAAACCAAAAAAAATGTTTTTTTTGTGTATATTAATGTAATGTTTAGCATAGTTTAAGGAAACATGTTTGGTTGGAAAACACATATATATCCGTTATTTATTTTCGCCGGTACGCGTAAATATTTTGTGGCAAAATAAATGTGTGCCCCCCCTATTTTTTTTCATATTTAGTCCATAATTATTAAAAAAGTTACATATTATGCCTAAAACTATAAAATTTGTTTTTGCCCCCCCCCCCCTGTTTTTCAATTTTTATACATCAAAACTTCAAGCTCCGCCACTGTTTTTAAACATCGTCCTTTTTCACCTCAAAATTACTCAAATTCTCAAAACTACACTTCATAGTCTCTTCCACCATGCATCCCTCATCTCCCCCCCCCCCCCCCACATCGTAAAAGGCATTCCCGTGAATACCACCAACTTCTTCAGCTCCATAGATGGTTCCATCTTGATATCCTCATACTTCAAGAACAAGAGCTTCTTAGGTGATTCATGGCTTGCTTTCCAGTACCCAACACATGGTTCCATCTTGATATCCTCATACTTCAAGAACAAGAGCTTCTTAGGTGATTCATGGCTTGCTTTCCAGTACCCAACACATGGTTCCAATATGGTCTGTATTCGAAGACCCCGTTACAAAAAAGATCATATGCTTCATTAAACAAAATGGATGTAATTTCCTTCGACCTAATTTTGCTCATGAAACTCCAATTTGAAATTAATATGTCCTTAGGATCCCAACACACGTACGAAAACTTAAATGCCAACGAGGGTGATGTTCTTGAGGTCGGTAACAAGTCATGAGCAAAGTTTGTGGCAAATAGTCGAGGGGAAGGGTGATTGTCAAACTTACTCACTAGATAATCAAGAAAGATGTGAGCATTAATGGAAGGAAATACACAATGGGTCCAATGCGACGAAGAGGATGGTCGAAGACCTTGTAAAAGAGGAGGTTGGAGGTGGTAAACATAAGATCTTTAAGCATAAGATCTTTACGCCGAGTGGTGTCATTGATTTGATTAATTGATGAATTTAATGCCGTGTTTGTGTATAAAAACACAAATTTGTGTTAGTGTTCAAAAGTCGTGTAAATTTAGTACAATTTATGTTGTTTTAAGTTACTTTTTGTTGTGTTTGTTGTGTTTATTATGTTTTTACAAGAACTCACGTATGACATTATATAAATTGTTATTTTATTATTTTTGTCATGTTATCGTGTTTTTATTAAGTCGTATTCGTCTTAATGAAAAAAAACACACTATTGTGTCTTTTCGTATTCAGGTTGAGAAAAAATAATTTGTTTTTGTGTCGTGTTAGGCAAAAGAGTATGAAAAAACTGTCTGGTTTACCATCCCTTCAATATTCCAACATACAATTCAAAAATATGCAAACGACGTATGTGCATATGCCATATGCACATGTAAAACATGCATATGACAAATATACATGCCAAATGTGTATATGTGCACATTTTCAAAAAAAAATATGTATGTGCATATGATGAAGGAGTTCTTGTGAGTAAATTGTTTTTATATTTGAAGTTTTTAATATAATAATGTATTCCCATTTCATCGGTAAAGTTAGTATTAGATTCTCATGTTGTTTTAAGTTTTCATTTGATATATA